GTAGGTATACTAGTAGGCTTACTTGTATCATCATGTCTGTCATTTGCCTTACGAGATTATATAGTGCTACGTACTGTGTGTGTGGAACTGTCCCTGGGGGTTGGTGTCTCTTTTTTTTCTCACAAAAACAATTTTATATCTATGCTTTTAAATAGCCAAGCAAGAGAGTAGATTTCTTACGTTGTTATCATAATAATGCTTATTATCAATAGTCAATGCTTAGGCAGTGGTAGTGGGATCCATGGGGTGGAAAGTAATTAATCTTTTTTTTACACGTGTTTTGTTTTCTCCCCACGAGTTTATAATAGATTAAACTCACATGCCATAATTTATCATATTTTATTTTTTTGGAAACGACAATATTTAGGAGCGTGGGAGCCCTAGGGACGCAACAAACCCTTTGGATTGGATAATTCTATTTTTCACATAAAGATTTTTTCATCGATATGTTTAAAAAGCCCACCCCCCACCACCACTTGGCGAGAATTTTTGAAAATAGAAAATCGTGCCTCACAGATAGCGTGAAACTAATAAGGTAAATTACTTGACAGGGATTTTATTTTTTGTTTCATTTGAAAAAAATATATAATTTTTGTGATCAAGGATAAATAAGTAACTTTATTATAATACTACAAAGAAAAATGCAGGGTAAAGTATAGGATTGCCATGACGCTTATTGTAGCCTTTGACCTAAATTCAACTTATGTAGGCCTACATATATCTCTGTTCGATCAGCATGTGCTAAGGGTACAACACCGCGTTTTGCAGACCTCTCTGTTTAAAATAAGGTATTTTGTGTAGAACTTGATCAAAATGGGGTCGAATTTGGACCTGTTTTGTCCAAAATTGTCGGAAGAAAAAATTCCCGTCCAACACGCACCATACAGGCAGCTCAAGACCCTTACTTGTATTAACAAATAGTGATCCCTTAAAATTTAATTTTTCATTTCAATATATGTGACAGAAGAATATACATTGCCAGGTGGACTTTCACGTACTAAAACATTAATAATTTACGCCTATGCAGGTGTGTGAAACGTTCGAGTTGATGGCTTTTCCAGCGATTTTTATCTTTGGCGCGAGTTCTATGCATTTCTGGCATGAATTTCTCTTATTTATGGGTTATTCAGTTGCTTGATTTACACTCCTATAAAATTGAACAGAGACTATTTTAAGCCCCTAGTGAGGATCTAATCATGGAAGTATATCTAAATCTATCTATCTATCTATCTATCTATCTATCTACGATATAATTCCCTGATCTAATTCACGATTCCATACATAATTGTAGCCGGACAGTAAATTGCATATAGAATTAGTTAGTTGGCATATTTGTGAATGTCTAGTGAGACCCTCCAAGCCAAGCCTCATGCATTTCGCTGCAAGTGCAGTGAAATAAATTTCATGATCAATTTGTAAAGCTACAATTTGTTAACCAAGAGATCAACAAGTCATACCTGACGATTCAAAATATTTCATTGTTATATTGTACTTGAATTACGGAAAAACTACCTGTACATTTAATGGACGAGTGCTCCTAGATATTATATTTATATTTTAAAGTCAAACATTTAGAAGGTAGACGGATGAAGATTGTTTATGGGAGTGATAAACAGATATGCAGCTACAGGGTTTTTTTTTTTTCCAACTATTTTCCAACTTTGTACATTTTCTTCAATCTCTATAGATAGACCAATTTGACTACCCACGAAAACATACTTTTTTCTTTCAACAGAGTTTTCTGCAAATGTTTACAATGACAAGCGCAGTGAACTTCAATTAAACGCCGCTGTAGTTCAATCATGAAGTTTTCAATAATGAACAACCTGTCTTGCGTCAGTTCTGAAGCTCAAACCAGACCACAAACTATTTAACAAAACAGCTGATGTTTTTGTTTTTTTTTTTTTCCTCAACTTTTTCTTTTGCGGGTACTTTCATGTTAACTAAACGGTAACATTCACAGAAACGTAGGCTTGCCTGAATAAACGACATCAATGAAACTCTCATTCATTAAAACCAAGTTTGTTTGTTAAACAGCATATTAAATTATTGACGACACTGGTTTATCTTTCATAACTACAGTTTGTGGATATACGGAGAATTTCCAATTCAGAGTTGTTTGTCACAGTTTTGTGTTTAGGAACACACGTGCGCATTTCTCACGTGGTTATGTATTCAATCACTGCGCGTGTGTACAATGTCAACAATGCAGCAATGACCTCAGTGATAAAAATAAAGGAAGTCAAGAAAACTTGCGGATTCATCACATGAAATTGTTCCAGCCGGTTTACTTCGGCTGGGGGCGTGATATGTACTTATATATACATTGCCAAATACACTTTGAATTTCAGTTGTGCTGTGGGGGGAATAAATAAAAGTATAGGAACGTAATTAAGGACATTGGTTGCTCTGTGTCTTCCCAGATGTCGTTAGATAAATGGAGCTCGCTCAATTAATTGTAACGAATTGTTCAAATTCAGCGAAAGAGATCTGAACTAGAGGTGAGGAGGTTTTAATCATTTATTTGTTCGTTTATTTATTTTGTTTTTCTTCTTCTGTTTCTCTCGAATTTTCTTCACGCCTAATCGCAGGTTGTTGTTTAATAGAATATCATTAGTGGTATTTGGTATACATGTTTCTTCCAGATTTATTCCAGGATGTAGGAGTAACATAGGTTGATTTGTTGTCTTTTTCTCACTTTTGTCGTCGGGAGGCAAACTTAACACTCAGATATTAAATATTATTGTTTGTTGTTTGTATTTTTAAGTCTAGTTAATAGTCCTATCATTGCTTTTGAGAAAACAATTATAAAAACAAATTGTAGCTCTGTGGATTACTAATCTGACAAGTTTTTTCATCCTGTTTGCCAGTAAAACTAGAAAGAAATAGTTGTTATTCCTTGTTCGTTCGCCTTTTCATTTCCATTTTGTAAAGTAAAAAAGCCAGGACATGTTGTACCTAAATTGAATTTCTCATCTATGTTTCAGATTTTTGACAGTTCGTCCCATCTTGTGTTACATTATGTCAGGTAAAATTACTTTGCTGAAGACGCCAAAATGTCAAGGGATGATTTTTCTTATTTGCCATCTTGGATTGATTCACCGCTCAGGTAGGCTATACGCTAGTTGTTGTTCAGTGCTGGGTAAATGCAGTTGTTTGGCGGTTCGATATTTTGTTTATAGAAGAGGCAAGTTAAATATTAAAGAAATGATGAAGATTTTCCAAATAAAGAAAACATCGCCTACTCAAGTATCAATTATGAGAGTGAGCCTTATTGATTGACCATGCCTCTTTTAATTTCATTCAGTAAAATGATTTTCTGGTCACAAACTCAAAAAAATATAGGTTTCATATTTCTTCATATTTCACAGGCTATTCATTACAATTCAATGACATTTCTTCGCATCAACCGGCAACTTTAAAACAGTAGACAATGGTAGTATAACTACATGAATTATGCATGTATGTTGTCCTCTATTGGGACCACAAATGTATTTCTTTTATATATATTCACAGATATTTCTCAGGCTTCTTCTATCCATTTTTTTTTTCGCATCAACCGGCAACTTTAAAACAGTAGACAATGGTAGTATAACTACATGAATTATGCATGTATGTTGTCCTCTATTGGGACCACAAATGTATTTCTTTTATATATATTCACAGATATTTCTCAGGCTTCTTCTATCCATTTTTTTTTTTTTTTTTTTTTTTTTTTGCATATAATTGACGTCTTCCCTCAGCTGAACTCTGATAGAGCGTAATAATATTTAGTTTACGAATGCGCAGATAGAAAATCGCTTGTAGTAATTTATTAATGAAGGGGGGAGTAGGAGAAGATGTTATCTCAACAGCCAAGAGAGACGCTTATCCTCCTTTGCCCCCTTAACCCTCCCTCTTCCCTCCGATTTCGCCATCGACAACGTCAGTTATGATTTTTTTTTTTCAGTATCCGATTTTACCACATACGTCGGCTCTTCTGCACCAGGAGGTATCAGTCAAAACACCAGTCTGAACACGGAATACTTGTGCCTGTTTGCCTGCAGCCAAAGTGACTCGTACGTACTTGCCAAAAAAAAAAAAAAAAGAAAAAAACCGAACAAAATATATTCGTACTTTTAGACGGGATCTTGTCATCATGAGTAGTGTGCCGCTGGCTTCTGGACAAACGCAACATGTATACCTACAGCTGCTTGCTTTTGGTATTTATGCTCCCCAGGGTGGTGAGATCATTTTAAGTTAATGCACATAAAAAGAAGAAAAATTCAACTCTCATGATCAGCTTTTCTTGTTTATTGCGGATAACACGCCAAATGTATAAACCCAACTTTTACCATTTTCTGGCCACCCCCTACAGGTGCATTGCCGCCGACTTCAACCACCAGACGACAGTGTGTGCCTTTTACGTTGCCAACGCCAGCTGTGCCGACATCTATCAAAGTGACTGCTGCACACACTATAGGAAAGTGCCTTGTTCGACATCAGACGGTGAGTATTGACTGTGCACGTCACTGGAACTAGACAGTCTACAGCCACAGTGCGCGAACTGCTGGCTTATTTCTCTTCATACTAACAGTATTCATGTTATATACTTTTGCCATTTACCAGTTGTGAACACAATAATTTTGATTAGATATAATTAAAAAAACCCCGAGATATTCTTGATCGATGTTAATTTGTAACTATCATATTATATTATATTATATTATATTATATTATATTATATTATATTATATTATTATAACAAAATGTGATTCCATTGGATTGTAGCATGCAACGCAACATATATCTCGTCCAGCGGCACGCTGACCTCCCCTGGACACCCATCCAACTATCCCAGCGACATCTTTTGTACGTATCGGGTACTTCCGGCGCCTGGCATCTACTTGATGTCCCTCAAGTTCACACAGTTTAGGACCTCCTGTAATGACTACGTCACTGTGAGTACAAACAATTGTGTGAGAGTTTGGTTTCATTGATCTTGAACCATTTCTTTTCACTTTTTTACGACCATTTTAATTTTTATTTTGATAGGTTGATTCTTTTATAATTTCTAAAATCAATGTTCATATGTATGCATTTAATGTATATAACATAGAGTTTTTGTTATTGTTGTTGCCGTGATTATTATTATTAATTTTTATTTAAATAATTTAAAAATGGAAACCGATTTCACTACGTATAACCTTTATAAAATGACATATTACTAAGCACAGGTTTATTTCAAGTTCATTCAGCCGACTTGCGGAGAAAAAGAAATAAAAAAGACATATATATATATCACAGAAACCGATGTTTAGCTTGGACTCAATTTTCCTATCTCTACACCTAAGCTCAACACACTGACCGGGTGGAGGCTTTTCCGTCTATGTGGAGATTACAGTTTCTACGACATCCACGCACTTGGTTATGAGGTGATTTTCGAGACCGACTCAATCCGCTCTTCATCTGGATTCTCGGCATTATTCAACTCTTTTAATGGTATGTCTATTATATTTTGAGTAATACATGTATACTTAACGGTACATGGAAATAAGTTTGATGTTAACATTTTTATTTGGAGAGAGAGAGAGAGATTGATGGACAGACTGACTGATAGACAAATACACATCGCTCACAAAAAGAAACATTTTTGTATTGCAGCCGACTGTGACGAGGTAGTGCCGGAGGGGGCGCTTCAAGTCGCTTCTCCAAATTATCCAAGTAATTACCCAGTTAGCGTGAACTGCCTGTCCGTCATCAAGCCTCTGACTAACGGGTCCTCAATCAGACTCCGGTTTTCAGCCTTTGATATTGAACTTGGCTCTGGCTGCAGATACGATATGTTGAAGGTAAGCAATGATGGCTGGATCAACTTTAAGATTTATGATTTGTGAACTGTCACAGTTAAATAAAGCCCGTGATTCAATTTTGATACAAATAAAAAACCAAGCAAATATTAAAATTTATTTCGTAAGGGAAAATGAACAGTCTAACACAAAACTTGCGAAGTAGTTAAATACATCGGCGAGCCACCGTTGCGATCGGTACAATCGCTACAGAGGAATGAGCGCCAGTGACCCGATGGGTTAGTCACACGACTAGCTATATACTCGAGGGGCCTGGTGCCAGAACATCTCATTACAATTTATATTTATTTCAGTGGTTTGACTACACTTACGACAAGTACATTATTGGTCTATGCGGCTTAAGGATTGGTCTGACAATGCTGAGCAACACAGGCATACGTTTACTGTTGATTTCGGACAATACGGTAACGAAGCGAGGATTTCATGCCACCATTGAGGCCAACAACGGTTAGTCCTTTATCTTGGGACAGGTTTTACGAAAGTTAATTTGCGAACAGTTGTTATTACTTTAAGTAGGTTCCAACTTTAAGTTCAATTTTTAGTCTACTTTGGTCCAGGTTGAATCAGTAGAATGAAACATCGAGTCTGTTTAAATTAGAAAATAAATGGAAAGATTATGCTTTATACATGTACCAATGGTCGTTTTATTGGAGTTGACTTATTCGGATGACAACAGTTAAGGGCAAATTTCTAAAACTGATTCACACCTTGTCATAGGGCTGCATCAGCTATGCTTTTCTTCTGTTTTTCTCGATATCTTCACTTTCCCCTTTGTCATGGTCAACCTGTTTTAATTCCAATGTTATGAGTGACCCATAGGACCTTAAAACCCCACTTGGCCTACACCAAGGCAGAACATTACGATTTGCTGCAGACACGTGTCCAAATACGATCTTTCTTTCTTGTATTTCTTCGATTAACAGAATTTCCCCGTCGTGTTTAAAGCTCAATTAAAAATTCATCAGTTCCCTGTGCTCTCTTGCCAAAGCTGAAATATGTCATTTTGTTGCTGCATAAGCGTCTAACGTACGCTCAATGTATATACCTTTTGTGCTTAAGCATCTCTTTCATCTAAAACCGAGCAGTTCCATCGCCTACTACATATGAACTTCAGTCAACAACCTTCATTTTTTTCTTTTCAGATTGCGGCGGTACATACATTGACCTGTCTGGAAACATTTCATCTCCCGGCTACCCGTCAGCCTACGAAGCCAACTGTTTTTGTGTGTTTGAAATATCAACTACCAGAACAGACGAAACAGTGGTGCTTGAATTTACACACGTAGATTTGGATTATAACATCAATTCACCCTGCCAAGATTACGTCCAGGTAAAAATATAACATATTTTGACAGATTTCGGATTATTCTGTATTCCTTGTTGTTTGTGTACGAACAATTCCGAACAAGGTTCCTTTGTCAAAGTCTCTGTTTGTTTATTTATTCCATGTTTTATTATTGCGTTATTTGACAGTCTTTTTATGTTCAATTTTGGATAAGGATATTGTTTTTTAATTGTTTGGCAATCATACTATATGTTTGGTATTCATAAATGATTTTTGTTTTGCCTATGGCCTTATTGCGACCCCACAAAATTCCTTTATAAACTATTATGCGTATCTGCTTACCATAATATTTTGGTCACTCTATACTTCAGAGCTCTTATGTATTCTGGTCCATCATTTCGGATTATCGTTTTGATCCCATGGTCATTTAATTTTCATTAGGGTTTTCGATATTAATAATAGCGCCCTTAACTGTCTCATCAAATCAATCTACATACATTGTTTGTCATCTGATTTCATTCATTGGTTCTGATACTACAATAAATAGAGTAGACATTAACGGCATTTTTACAGCAAATATAATTTGAAAATCATGTCATGAAGTAAATGGTTTTTTTAAAAAACGATTAACTCATCAAATACGTTTACATTCGATAGAACAGAATGCCTATTTCACCGAAGCTTTTTATCGTCCTTTTCCATGCACACTCCAGGTCAGAGAAGAATCCCAAGTTGGCACCCTACTAGCAGAAGCGTGTCAAAACAAGATCCCAAGTGTTGTGAATGCTTCCTCTTTGTGGATCCTATTCTACGCGGATCATAGTAAGCTGGCTGAGAGAAATGGGTTTTCGGCAACATTCTCCATGGGTACGTAAGCATGCTTGGGTGTGTCGTTCTGTTGGTGTATGTGTATACTTTTGTATATGCGGGCATTAGGCATTAAGCTGTATCTTGGCACCGTATAAGTACGTACTCACAAATGATAGTATGAATACACAAATAAAACGTCATTTTTTCATTAGGTTTTGATTGTAATTAAAGATAGAAATATAATTTTCGACACACATGATTCCTAATCAAACGGCTCCCGACGGAAGAACCCGTCTTTAACGCGATAAATACGCCCATAACACAGAGCAATATAAGGAGGCAGTTTTGTGATGCTTAACCGTGTGCTACTTTAAAGTGCTTGGGCAGTAAATCGTTTTACCTGTTGTTAATTGCGATTAAGTTTTACTGTAAAAACATGCGTATTCCCATATATATTTAAATATATGCGTGTGCTTGTTTTGTTTTCTGTCCAACAGTGCAAAAACCACAAAATGTCCTTGACGCCAACACTGTTGACGCCAATAGCGCACGTCTCCGTAATAGGGATGAAAGTTCCAGCGCAATTTTTTCGAACACTGGCTTTTCTGAGGCGAGTTTGCATACCGCTTTTGTTATCAATGGCGGCAGCACATATTCAACGGAGAGTTCACCCAACACTATACCTTATGGCGACACCACTGTTATCGCAGAGACCTACGGCACCAGGGTTCCATTTATTCAAAACGTCGAAACTTCGGTTCAGTACACTGGCAGCACATATATCAGCACCCAAAATGACGGTACACAAATTAGCAGCTCGGCTCAGTTTAATACAGGGGTCACGCCCACGCAAATCTTCGATTCATCGATAGTATCGCCTAGCTGGACAGAGACCACATTCCAAGTTGAATCGAGCCTATATATGCCAGCTGTGACCAACGCTGATTCTCATTTGAGCACTTCACAATCAATGATCATAGAAAAGTTCGACTCCGTGTCAGATTCGATTTTTCTGGAATTACCTAGCTTTCGCCCTAATGCTATTTCATCAATCCCACACATTGCTACAACTTCCTACTTGCAGGCAATTACACAGTCTCGCGTCTCATCCAACAGCGGCTCTTTCAACGGTCCATCCATGGCATCGCCCTCTATGTCGCCGAGAGTTCTGAGCCATGCTGTGTCTTCAGTCGCAACTAGCACATTCCAGTCATTAGGTGTTCTTGTCACCACCTCTGTAACCAATTTTGTTTCAT